TGGGAAACCAGTCATACTCTAAAAAAATGTCATACTATATCTGAGCTGCTTCTCCACTAGGGTTAATGTACAAAATTACTTTTAAGTGTTAAGAACAGAAGACTAGCATTGAGAAAATTCAGAGTTAATCAGTGGTTCAAAGTTACATCTAGCAATTGATTTTTCACTTTGATGTGCAGAATGCAAATATTGCAGAGACAAATCATGCGACTAGTGTCATTTAAGAGAAAAATGAAAGGCTGGATGTTCCTAGAAAAAACTGCATCCACAGTAGATCAAATTTGGGTCTCAATTTAAAAAGTTCATCAAAATGAACAATAGTACATATATTTAGGGGGATGCATAATATTTCTTGGTGTAAACCATTCTCTCATCCTGACAAAAGTATAGTACGTAAAAATGACACTTGGGGAGAACAAAAGGTGTCTGCTGGAGTTCGTGAACCATATGCTGCCTTACTGTAGGGATGCTTTCATATCAAGAAGTCATGGTATCTGGGAGCCAGGCAAAATAAATCATTTTTTCCTCCAAAGTTTTTTCAAGCCTACTTTCAAGTTCAGTAGTCATTACCTGAAACTTTGGGTCCCATTTATTAAGCACAGACAATCTTTATGCACCTTGATGGAAATGTTCACAAATAACAATCTCCTTTGTGATCTGGTATGCATGCTAGGAAGCTGCTATTAACGGTACACACATCCTATAGGAACCCTGAAAAAGAACCACCATGAGGCCTTGTACCGCGAAACATGGCAACAGTGGCCAAGTATTCTACGGGAAGCAGAATGTCTGAAAGAGTTAAATACTGTTTTCTCACAAAAAGTCCATTTATGAAGATTTTTGTTAGCCCAGCTGATCAGCAGCCTTCATATGCAGATGGTGAATGTCTTGACAAGAGTCTTTCTACCTAACATCAGAAAGCTGCTCCCAGCTTTAAGATAATGTTTCTTGTTGAAACTTTTATAAGGACTATAACCCCTCTGTCTATTGTAATTTGGGAATTGAATATTTCCCCTATCTGTTTAACATCTGTATTGTAACAGTATATTATAAAAATCTCACCTTGTGTATTGTAAGCACGATCCCAGTGAAATTATTCTTAAGTATTGTGTTTTTCATTTCTGGATATCACTGCTTGGCATGATCTACCAAAGTGGAAGTATGTTTCCATAGGGAAGGTTGGGAGGGGGGAGGGGGGAAGGTAAAGCTACGGTGTAATGTAATATTAAAAATGTACCCCAGCTGAGCATTATATGCAGGGATTGTAAAAAGTTCTGCGGCTCCTCACCTGTTGGTGTTGCTAAAAGTGTTTTTCTTTAAAAAAAAAAAAACGGTCTTCAATGAACAGGGAAATCGCAGGAAAAGAGGAGGAAGAAAATTTAAATGATCCCAGAGTGAACTGTTTTGCTGTTAATACAGAAATACAGAGCAAGACACATTTAATGGGCTCTATTTTTTATTATACTATGCTGAATAATTAAGTTTGAGGCTAAGTGTCACATAGATTTATCTTTTAATTAAAAAAGCATGGTTCACGCATATTTGAGTGGTAGTCCAAATAAATGCAATATAGAAATTTATGTTTGTTTATCTAGGTGTTAATTACCTAGAGATTGTTCTGGATTACTTCTTTTTATAAAGTGTCATAGGCTCATGTCACAAGTAATAAAGCTTAACAGTGGAACCTTATCAATTTGCTAACTATAATGCTAGTGTGACCTGAAGGAAGAGGGGAAAAAACAAAACTTTGGAAAATGTTGTGTGTGCGTACCCCATTCAACACAGAGAAAAAAACCCCACACACAGAACAAAGCAATCATTTAAAAAATGTTCTCGTAAGTAAAAGTACAAATATATCTTCTGTGTTTTACAGCCTTCCATACATGTAATTATTTATATAGCACACTGTTATTTATGCTTGTGTGCTACATGTTCTGCAGACAGGCAGTGAGCAACAAAACGTAGTTTACCTGATGGGCAAGCTAGTACATTTAATATATATTGTAACATTTGCACACCCAACACTATTTAAGGCAAAATGTAGCAGATGTAATATTCTTAATATTTTTTACAGTATATCTAGAAAGCAATAGGAAGAGAAATGCAAAACTGGAATGTAAAGATAGAAGATCATGAATTTCAATGGTGCAAACAGAGGGAAAAATTGTGTACAGACGCAAATTGTTCATCAAATTCTCTGTCAGTCTGTTTTTTCTTTGTTTATGACCAGAATTTATATTACAGTCCCATAGAATCATGTGGAATGAAACTGAGCAGTGGCAGGATAAGCTAACTTCACAGCACATTCAAATCAATTGAGATGATGCCAATTTACAGCAAGCAAGGATCTGGCCCTGGGCTTTGAAAGGCTAAGAAATCTTTTTGACTGTGGGTTTTTGTTCCGGGGGGGCGGAACGACACATTTTGCATTATTTATCTATGTTTTGCTTACAGTTCTGATGACCTGAAATACTATTACCTTTCTGTTACACCACATTATGTTGCATTTTTGAGAATCTCTACTTTCTGATATCACAAAGAAATCAATGAAAATGACTCGAAGAGTTCATGCTCATTAATTCTTGCTTGATCTACAGTTTCTCAAAACGTGAAGAAGCCTAGAAACAAAGTAATAAAAGGTAACTTCTGTTTATTACACAGCGATTATTCCTGCAGAACAGATTCCATGAGCTTTGTTTGTAGTAGTAGATAAGGTACGTCTCAACGGGTAAGGTGGGAGGACATTTTAATTTTTTAAAAGTTTCTAAATAAGATATCTTTGGGAATAAAATGAGGTGGATTTGAATATATTTCTAATTGTAAAGGAATGAAATACACTTATTTCTCATAAATATAAAGGTACACGTTATTAAGAAGCAGAAGCCTAATTTTGGTTCCTAAGCCCATTTAATACCCTAAATAAGTTATGTGATTTCCAACCAGTGGATGCTTAGCACTTCTGAAAATTGGTCCAGTCCTCCAAGAACCTACCTATGGATCCAGGAGCTACTGTTTTCAAATCATAGTCACAGGGTTTGATGAAACAATGCAGGATGCCAGTTCTACTGATATAAGAGTTATACCTCTATGAATACAATAGTGCAATGGTGAATCAGGCCACACATTAATAAAGTTATAGGTAAAAATATCCAATTTAAAGCAAGAAAATACATAGATAAAATGCACTTGATAAACTGTGAGCAATGTTTCAACAAGGGATATATTCCTTCTCTTAAGGTTATGCCTCTGTTTTTCTTCATTATTTTGTTGGTGTTTATTCTTGAGGAAATGTCTTTTATGCTCTGTTTTCTGAAGAAGTTCATATTATGATGAGTGAAACGCAAAGAATAATAAAGAAAAATGGTGGTATTAACCCTAACAGAGGAAATAGCTCTTTTGTTAAAAATGTCTGTGGCCATTTTACATCTGTCTTCACTAGAGAAGGCAAGAACTGTAGTTCCTGAATTATACTAGTCTTTAATGTGCTGCCAGTTTATGCTATGACCCTGTAGTAATGTACTGTGAACTGCATTCAATAAAGGCTTTATCTAATGCCCATTGAAGTCAGTTGGACACTTTCTATTGGCTTCTTTAGACTTGGCAACAAGCCCAATATGAAAAATATAAATATTTCTTAAAGTATCAACTATCAATATTTGATTGTTTTCTCTTGCATATTTTCTCTGTGATGAAATGCTTTATTAGCTGTGAGCCAAACGATCATCTCAGAATCTCCTCTTATACTTCATTGCCTCACACTGGCATACCCAAAATGAGAATCTGGCCCTGTCCATGGATGATGTTCAGAATGTTAAACTATAATTTTCAATGCACTTTAAAAATCAGGGTACTTGTACTATTCTTAATCCCAGTTAGACACTGTTTTCGTTGAAGTCAAGACCATTAATGTTTTATAGACTTCATGGGAAAAGAACAAGTTCCTTTGGTGTTATAAACTCTGGCACTTACACCCCAATTCTATCTCCATTAAAATTAGTGGGGGGAAATGCCTAGGGGGAACAGAAATAGATTCCCAGTTGCAGTACTAATGCTCAATGAGCTGCTCTTTGGTTTTAGCTTTAATAGCAATTGCCATGCACCTTGCTTCACAATGATAAGTAAACAGAGCTCCCAGTTAATTTGTAGTGGGCTATGCATGTAATGGGACTCAGTTCTTTAGTGTTTTCTCATGATTTCAGTCAGAAAATTCATGTGAACAAGTCACATGCTTGGTCACACACATCTGCAAATAAATTATGAAATACCACACATAAAACAGTGCAACAAAGGGTGCAAGACTGGTAAAATTCCCATTGACTTTAGCAGGGGAGAAGTATTTGG